GAGCAGCTTGAAGGCTGATTGATTTATTAAGTGGTATATTGGGCAGGTCTTTGCCAGGCAATCGGAATGAAAGTTCCTGCACTGTTTTCCCCGTGGGCCAAAAGCAATGTTTCAGCCAGTCAGGTACCCCAGCGTATCATTACTGTAGTGGCAATAATGATTAAAAATAGCCCACAGCATCCTGGATATGCGGCAGTGCTGTCTTTCATCATCCGATGGTTCCGTTGTCCTTTTCAATACGTTCTGCGAGGCTCCTTCACGCTGGGCAGAACAAAGCCTCCGTGCTGGCTCCCAGATATTCCCGTGCCGGAGTATTTCATCCTGTAACCAGGCAAACAGAACTTCCTAAGCACACGGTGTGGAGAAGGTCATGGGGAATACTTTGGGTGCTCCATTACAGGTGGGTGCCCAACGAGGAGCCTATTTGATTGACACTAAGATGACATTTAGTGTGCAAAATTGCTGTCTGAAGAGCCTGCAACCCGTCCCGTAGACCACTGCTGGCTGGGCATTGCTCTCCATCTCCCTTTTTATCCCTGCCTCTTGTCTTCTGGTTCCTTGCAATGGCTTTGGGGTGGAGACCCTCGTCTTGCCTGGAGCCAGTGGGTGCTTTGCCGAGGCCCGGGCCATGCCGGGGACTTCTGGCCGTTAACAGCAATCACTGTGGCAACAGTGATGGTGAAGATGCTCTGAGCTTTGTAGCCTGGGAATAAGCACCCGTGTTAGCAGGAGTTATTTAGCGGTGAGGCTTATAAAGAAGCTGCTCTTAGGGCTGGAGTAAATAAGATGATGATTTAACGGCGTCTGAAGGCAGCTCATGAAACCACCTCGCAGAAGGACTTATAAAAATGACTGTCACTGCTCTGCGTCTTGCTCTCGCGCAGGGAATACAAGTGTGGGGGCTGACAGATGGCCTTTCTCGGGCCGATGGGGACCAGTGTGCTTTATAGGTGATGCCATGAGCTTCTCAACTGCAAAACAGCCCAGAGCAATGCTCCTGACTCTGATCGAGTGGTAGCTCTGAGGGAGGCACGGCAAAAAACGTGTGGTGGGGAGGGCTGGATCCAGCTGTAGGTGACTTCTTTGGGCTAAGCTGGGAAGCTGGGCTCTGGAAGGCTGGGCTAAGCTTTTCAGAGATGGCTTAGCCTGGTGAAGTGACTCACCTCCTTGGTGGTGAAGTGGTAAGAGCAGCCCTTTGCACACTGTTTGAAAAACAAGAATATGCCAGCAGTGGTGAGGCAGGAGCAAAAGAATTTGGGTCCATAGGGAGGTACAATAACACCTTTTTGAGTGAAGAGCTCTGCTTTCATCGCTTATATTCTCAGGGACGAAGCAGCAGGACCTGCTTCTCTTCAGCTGTGTTTGTAGATGGGACGAGAGCAAGGCCGAGTCTTCTGACAAACTTGGCAAACGAAATGGAACTTGCTTTCCATGCTGCCCAAATGTTTCAAAATTTGACTGTCGTGCACTCTCTAAAAAGATTAAAAATCCAAATGCAGCAAAGAGAGGGTGGCAGGGACGGACAAAGAATGTCTTGGTGAAGACAAAATGCAGCAGGGTGCTGTTTTGTTTCTACTCAGTCTAATCAAACTGGCTACCAGCTTCTTAAGAGAGCACGAATCAATGAAGGAAAGTACTGTCTCTTGAATACTAGGGAAGAGTTCTTCATAAAACCTGAAATTTGTTCTGAAATCTTGTTCAAGGGTTTGGTCATCCATTCATTCAGCTATATGTTCCAGCTAAACAAAATTTGTCTTTCCATTTCAGAACAATTTGTACTGCTTTGAAAACTATTCCCTCTTGCACCACGATGATCGTGTAGTATTAGAAGAATTGAGAAAGATGGTTTAGCTCTTCTGTAAATTCCCTTTTTCTGTTTTTTTCCTGCACAACACGCCCCACGGAGGATGACCCAATACTAGATTTATTTTTTTTACTTCAAGGTAGTGAAGAGTTATCATGATGTGTCAAGATTCCTGTGTCCACAGTCATGCAGATGGGTGCTGGAATAAAACACAGTGGTGTTTCTGCTTTGTCAAAGAGCATCGTTCAGGAGTGCACAACCCAAAGCATCTCCTGTACTGCTGTGTAAGAAGTCCAGCTTTTAATTGCAAGTGCAGGCTTTGGATCACAGAGTGGGAGCTGTGTCCTGCCATCTGTAGCAAATGTGTCAAAAGCATGTAAGAATGAGAGAATTGGCAGCCTGTAATAAGATGCCGTTGTGTAAATGATAGGGCAGATACATCTAGATTCGCTAAATGCGCTTTCATGTCAGCAAAGCATCCCAAACTACGCACTGTGGCCATTACCCTGTCAAGTGAAATACCTAGTGCTACATCACTGGTACAGTGCAGAGATTTTTTTTTTTCAACTTGTATTATTAAACAACTGAGAGTCTTAAATGAAATGTCACATCTAATTTAGCACCCAAGACGTGAAGTCTGCAGCCGCCCTTGGCCAACCCTGACAGCTCCGCTCCCTGTGTCAGTTCATCTGCCCAGCGAACAGATCCGCAGCTTCCTCCTGACTCGCTGGCATCTGTGTGCACCCGACCGTACCGAGCCGTTTGTGGGTTTATACCTTCAGCAAGATGCCAAACACTTCTCTTTGTGGTAGAAGGTGCTCTGGCAAAACCCTCCAGCCTTCAAAAGAGTCCCCGGTGCCTGCGGCCAGGAGCGTAAGGGTGGCTGTGTCCCCAGCTCCTCTCCAGGAGAGCAGCAGTAGGGGATGCTTAGCAAAGCGTGTAGAAACAGGCAGTGCATATGGCTCGGGAATTAGCTTTTTTTCTTGTGCCGGGGGCTTTATTCTCATCTTTCTTTAATAGATTCTGATGGTTTTATTTACCAAGAATTTGTCCAGTTGGTCTCTGGATTTATAGTTGTTAGCCTCTGCAGCGTCCTAGGGCAGTATGTTCCAAAGGAAGGAATATTCCCTGGAAAAGTACTACTACTTTTGTGTAATTTCTGACTAATAACATTATTTGAGGCCTTCAGGTTCCTGTTTTACGATGAATCATGACAAATTTTACCTTATCCACATTTCTTAGGCCATTCATGCTTTTATAAACCTCTCTGTCTATTTCCCAGATGATTTCTAGGTTGAGGAATCTTAGTCTTCATATAAAAGCCGCTTCATACTTTGAATTGTTCTTTCTGCCTTTCTCTATTTAATTTCAGATGCTTCAGCTTGGTTTTTAAGATCAGAACTATACCCAACATTCCAAGACCCACGTGGCCACAGGTTTAGACAGCGAGATGATGAGAGCTTTCATGGTGTTGGTTTCGTAGCAGTTTGTCTTGATTGCCGTAGAGCGTTGGCTCGTGTTTCCGTGAACCCAAGTTGTGCGTGCTCAAAGCACTGTGCACGTCTCATTTCTTGGGTCCTGGTTCCTCTGCTTGCCAGTGTATGCCAAGGATTCACTGGAGGGGAAAGGCAATGCTTATAAAGTGTATACGCCTCTAACTCTTCTGAATTTCAGTTATTTTTATATGGCAAATTGTCCATTATAATAAGAAAGCAGCTTGTCCAGTCATTGGAAACATTGCTGTTTTTCTCACAATGTAACTCATCTCTGGCCACAAATCCCTACTGCTCCAGACACCCTTCAGGGCAGAGAAATGGAGGTTATGCAGGCACAGAGGCTGAATTCTCCATGTGTGGAGGTGAACAAATGACTGTAGAGATCTACTATTTGAAGGGTGAGTCTTGCTTCATTCCCCAACCCCCTCCAAAAGAGAGGGCTCTCTTTTTTCTTTTCAAATGCCAATCTGCTGTGTTGCATCTGGCCTAGGAATTAAGGAGTCCATCCAGCACACATCCAGCCCTCTCCTCATGGTGTTGCGTGGTAGCCTTCTTTAAGGCAGATCCATCCACTGGCTGCCTTGCTGTAACCTATGCAGTGAGGAGAAGGCTCTGCCTCTGCAGAGGGATGCTCTCCAGGATATGGCCAGGTTGTCAGTTGGGGCTGGCTCTGAGGCTTTACGCACCACTCCGTAGAAATCTCATCTCTATAGAGCATGTCTGATCTTTGCAGTTCTCATCTCACCTGGGAAACACTCACCTGCATCAAGAGGAGTGGGCGTGGTACTGGAGTCTCAGATTGGTTGACCCCCAGGAGTTACTCGGTTGGGAAGAATGAAGGCTTGAAAGCTCTGGAAATGAGGGAGCCTTTGGTGGGAGTCTGTTCTGGAGGGTGAAATGCTGGCAAGTACTCCAGCAAGACTCCAGTCATTAATCGGTTTGACGTGTAACAGCTTTGTCTGAGGTGGAAAGCAAAGATGTCCTCGCTCTGGGAGTTGAACAGCTTGGGAATACTTAGTGTAGGCTTGCAGACTCAGGCATAGTTGATCCAGGCTGAAGAAACAGGCTTGCAGGACTGTAACAGGCAGGGTGGTGTGGGCCGTGCCCCGCCAGCCTTCTTCTGACATATCTACACAAACGCACAGCAAGTGAGGGCACTGCTTCTACACCACCATGAAATTCTTCTGTGTCCCATCCTGCCGTGGCTGTCGCTTCACTCGTTTCTCTGAACCTCCCTTTTCTGCCTGCCTGCCCCCAGGCATCTTTGCTTGTTGGCAACAAGGGATCGAGAGAGACACAACACCGGTGGCGTGCCTGCAGGAGACCCTGGGCAAGCCAGGACTGAGGCGGGACTCCTCAGAATCACCTGAATGACTTAGGTGCAGAATTCCCAGGGACCTGAGTGGGATGGCAACCCAAAACCCACCTGGGCACACCTCAAAAATCTCACTGTAAATACTGTCACCTTGGGGGGAAGTGTCTAACAAACACACCCGGGAGTAAGGTGCGTAAGGCGGTGCCCAGGACATCCTCATGCTGTACGCACGCAGCTATCTGGATGTCTCAAATGTACTGATCCTTGGAACTGCTGATACAGCTGAAAGCCCTAATGCTTTCTTCTGCTACCTGTGGTTTGCTCTGCTTCTTGCACTTCCATCAGCAAGCGAGATGAGCCAAAACTCCCCTTTGCTTTGTTCCAGGTGAAAATATTCACACGAGCCTTTATGGAGCAGCTGTAGATGTCAACATCAGGCTAGACAGGAACTCCTTGACAGTTGAGAAGACTTACCTCACGCTGACAAACCACAGATCTGTGGTCATCCACAATCGGAGTGAAATCATAGCCCACTTCCAGTGGAAGGCTTTTGTTACTCAGGAAGAGGAGGATCAGCAGAAACTGAGGTTCGTTTGAAAGATTCATTTCAGTAAGATACACGGCCCAAGGGTAAAACCAATGCATGGCCTCCAGGGGTATTGGTGCTTTTGAGGGGTTTAGGACAAGTAAACCACCCACAGCAACAGGGTATGTGTCCCTGGGCTTTGGGGTAGTGGAGCTCAGTCCTTCCCTTTCCAGTTCTATCCATACTGCAGCTGAAGGTGATGTTTTGGGGAGAAAAAGTTGATTGCAATGACTGGATTTCCTCATCAAATTTGTGTTCGGGAGCCACAAACCACTGAGATCCAGAGATCCCTGAGCTACAGAGGGTCCCTGAGGCCGAGGAAGGTCTCGGCACTTGTTACCTGGGGCTACATTGAGTAATAGCACTTAACATAGCTGCAGGTAGCACAACTATGATGATACTCACTGCAGTTTCTTCCACTCCAACTTTGATAAGATGACAGGCTCCTTTTCTAGAAACATGCAGGGTAGAGTGCCTCGCTGGCCGGAAAGTCAAGGCCATCCACTGCAGGATGTTGAATTGCCTTGTGCTGTCCCGGTTTCCGGCACAGCGAGGTATTTCTGCCCGCCCTTAGAGGCTGTGGGGAGAGTTTGGGGGTGGAGGGTTCTGCAGGGAGGGTAGGGCAGCACAAGACTTGGAAGTGCGTTTGGGCTTCGGCAACCTGTCTCTTCATGGCGGTGAGAGATGGGGCAGGTTCTCCCCAGGGTGTCTCCGGTGAAGCTTTGAAATTCCCATTTCAGGCAGCAGAGAAACATTTATAGCCCAGGGGGATGAATTGGAAATTACACTTAAAAGCTTGGGTGATTTAGGGAATCCTTGTGTGACTTCTCAGACTTGGATGGATGTAGCTATATAGGAGTTAGCCTGAACCTGTAGCTGATCAGGAAACTGCCTTAAACTGGAGCACTCTTTAAGGGCTTCTGAGCAAATAAAGTTCAATGTAATTAGGTCAGAAATGCCTTGAAGGCCACAACTAGTTTTCCACTGTTCTCTATTTTTAATTACACAGCGTGTGACTTCCATGCAAGCTCAGTGCGTTAAAAGGAAATCTCATGACCTTCTCTTGGTACCTCTCTGGATCATTCCTTTACCATCTCTTCCCACCTGCCTGTCTCAGACTGGACCCTGAGTGATCCTCTTTCTCCCCAGAAGCAACCAGGTTTCTCCACAGTTAACTTCAACCTCTTTTTTAAATTACATTTTGATCTTGTGCCAGTTTGTGTCTTAGACTCTGGCCAGGATGTTTTTTTGCCCTTTACTTGGAGTCTTAGGGATGGTCATAGCTCCAAGGCCATTGTCCTGCTGTCAGAGAAGCTTCTGAGATCTCACAGCAGAGAGGACTTTTTCATGAGCAGAGGCAGTGCAGGACCCTGCACTGGGACGTGACCCGAAAAGACCTGGATCATTAGAAGGTCTATCCAGGGGTTCGTGCTGTCTCCCTCCTACAGGACTTTCTGGGATGTAAGGATGGAATTATTGTCTGTTGATGGAGGTTGAGCTGAGGGTCGCTCATCTCAGCGGCTGGAAGCCCTTCTCATGCACAGCGTTGCTAGCCAAAGCAAGTATTTTTGGCACCGGTGACGGCATTTGCCCGAGGCTCTGTCTGTGTGCGGCTAGTAATGTCCATGACCGTATTTCTTCTCTTAATTATATTTGAATTTAGCTGGATGATGATCACTATGTACTAAGTTGCCTCAATTTGCTGCATATGGAGTCTTCCACTCCTCTCCCCAGAGCAGTCACCTGCTGGTTCTTCATGGCTAGGAGACTGGAGTGTGAAGGGAGGACAGCAATATGCCAGCTAGGAAGCAAGTCCTCTGTAGCGGTGCTCCTTTCTCATCTCTTGGTTGTGATCTTGAAACACAAGAGTGATTTCTGCTACAGCTGCCAAGTAAGGGAGAGATTAACTGTGTCACAGCTCTGCGGAGAAGGCCATAAAAGAGGAAAAAGATAATGTGGTTCAAGGCTATAGATGTAAGCGTTTGCATTCAGAGATGCTGGTCCTGACTTCTTGAGTGGGTGCTGCTAGGCAAAGTCCCTTCCTCTCTCCAGGCCTCTTTTCATGCATATAAAATCATTAATTTCATCAAAGTGATGCGATACCTGAATTCATTAGTTTGCTTTTAAAGAGCTCTGGGATCCTCTGGTGGAAAGCAGTATAGGGAACAGAGAGCAGATACAGTTTGCTTATCCCTGCAGGTCCAAAAGGGAAGGAAGAAAGTGTGATGCAGCTGAAACCCATCATCTTCTTCCTTCCCAGTGAGGCACCGCAGTGGGTGCTCCTTGATCTTTGTCTGCCTCCCCCGAGGTAGGAAAAGCCTGTTGAGGTGGTTGGTGGATTCTCCATCAGTTGTGGCGCGGGCTTTGGGCCAGGTAGCTCTCTGGAGGGCTGCTAGCTTTCAAAAAAACCCTCTCTTTAGCTTATAAGCCATGCCAGCAACCCAGAAGTGATCATCGTTTAGACTAGATATTAGGAAAAAATCTCTTTTGTGAGAGAGTTGTCAAGCATTGGAACAGGCTCCCCAGGGAGGTGGTGGAGTCACCATCACTGGAGGTGTTCAAAAAATGTGTGGACGTGGCACTTGGGCACATGGTTGAGTGGGCTTGGTGGTGTTGGGTTGATGGTTGGCCTTGATGATCTTAAAGGTCTTTTCCAGCCTTAAAGATTCTGTGATCTGATCCGTTTGGGACCCCTTGGCTTGGGGTCAGCCCCTTGCTGAGCTGCTGTTGTTCCTCCCCGAGCGCGTCGCTGCCCCTGCACTTACATGATGGTCTCCGTGAATACGTTGCTTATCAAATTATCTGCTTGGTTTGTCTCTCCCCGTGGCTGCAGGCTGTGTCGCAGGCTGCAGAGGCAGGAAGAGGACGAGACAGGTTATTTTCTCAAGCAGTGCACGGTGGACCCCACTCTCCGACACCACCTTTCCGTTCTCTCCCGCACCTTCCAGAACCAGAGAGCAAAGGTGCAAGGAGACTCCATGCTTTTCTCTGATGATATCTTCACCATTGAGCCAGTGGTAAGTGATAGCTGAGAACCCCCCTTCCACCTCCTCCTCGAATAAAGTCACTTGGCAGATGCCCACATCAGCTGGCTTGATGTGCAAAGAGGGAAAACATCAGGTTTCTAGTGAGGCTGGGAGAGCTTGTTGTGAAAAGCATTTCTGAACTGAGGGTTCCTGACAGGAGCCTGCCTGAAGCTGAGCTCTGCTGCAAGGGCTATAAATTAAGGGGGTTTAAGTGTCCTTACAGTGTTCAGAGGTATTTATTGTTGTACGTAAGGGCACACCTTACACATACTGTATGGAGATTAACAAAGGGTATTAGGGCAGCGTCAGGTCACATATTGACCTGAAAAATGAAATGGTCCTCTGGAAAGGAGGCCAAATTCAGCCCAAGTTTAATCATGGAAATATCAATCCCTTCATATAACCTGGATTTATACCACATCTGACTCCCAGATGTGAGCTGGGACACTAGACTGGCAGGTTAAAATGGACTTTTTGAGTTGTTTGTTGCACATAAGTACTGAAATTTTTTTTTGTTTTCTGTTTTATACAAGCAAAATTCCATGACCTTCAATCAGCCAGAGTCCTGATTCTGGGTATTTGCATGGTCTGAGATAATGCCTGCTGAGCAGTGCAAAACCCCTTCTTGTCTTGGAGTAAACCCTAGAAAAATCCCAATCTCTGCTTTTAAAATAGGAGAAACTAATTTTTTTTTTTTTTTTTCCAAAGGAAGGGGATCATATTCTCTTCTGGGTTACTCCTATAGCCTCTATAAGGCTGAGCGCCACCAGTGTCAGCACTTTCACACCACTGTAGCTGATGGCAGCGTGACGTGACCAAGAGATTGTGTCTGAGCAGTAGGAAAGTTGTAGAGCGGGAGCTCTAAGAGCATCCTGCGGCATGTCAGAGTTGGTGTTGGAGTGTGTCCCAGGGCTCCTGCTTCATCGCAGTCAGACTATGTCTCCACAACTAGCTTGACCCACTCTTGACTTCCTGAGGTACATTAAGGTGAGGTCCAGAAGTCTGGCTGCCCTCAGTCCTGGTACTCCATGTAACGATGTACGGATGAAAAGTATAGCCTGGCTTCAAGTCTAGTGGAAACCTTTCCTAAATGGCTATTTTCATGTTGCACGGTTCGTTCCAGTGAGTAAACTGGACTCATGGGTTTGCTATGAGTGGACTGCTACAGGAGTCTCTCCCCTTCTGTCTTGTCCAGCATTATCAATCTTTTGACTGCTGTTAATTCCATTATTTATGCAACAGTTGGTTTCATGTTCAGAGTTTTGCTCATGTCTCTCTTCCCCTTGCCTAGCATACAGGTGTCTTTACATCAAATTATAGTATTTTCTCCTCTTTGTCAAATGTAGAATTTGAAAATCCACCACCACTGACTTCTTTTTCTCTGGTTATGAGAGAAGGACCTCCACTTCCATCTCTTCCTTCTCTTCCATAACCTTTAGCATGGACAGACACCCTTCTTGCCATGCAAATCTGCCGGAAAAGCGCCCCAAAGCCGGGATCTTGCTGCCTCACAGATCTTCTGGCCAAAAGCGGCCGCTCTCTTCCCACCTATCACCTGGGATGCGTCTGGGAAGAACCCTACAGAAATAATCTAACCCTTGTAACAAGTGACTAGAGGTAATTGCTTCCAGAAGATAGGAAGCTGATGGAGGGATAATAGTCTTGGAAACGCTTTCTGGGCAGGGCAGCTTGGCACAGAAGCTTTGCTTGTGTAAGCGGACCATGAGCTGCTGGGATTTTCAGATCTTGCTCTCTATAGAAGCTGTGGCAGGCCACTTCAGGCTGCGTAGGGTTAACTCGCCGATGAAAATAATAACCAAAAAAAGTGATTTTGCAATTACTGTGTGACCATGAACATTCTGAGCAGCCATCCAAGCCTGTGGGAAACAAGCTGTTACGCAACTCTGACTCTCTGAGCGCATCTCAAAGTTGGTTTAATTTATTTTTGCAAATACACATGATATGTCACAGAAGCAGCTGCGGTAGAAGCCCAGGTGGCTACCAAAGGACAAAGTCCTTGATTTTTTTTTTTTTTTTTCTGCATCCTCCCAAAAGTCCTTGTTTTTTTTTTTTTTTTTTCTGCATCCTCCCCACCACAGCTTTTCTGTAAGTCACATTGCAGACATGTGGGAGCTGACTCCTTGGAAATGGAAACCAGAGGAAAGGGAGGACAAGGATTTGTTACAGTTGCACTGACCTTGACAAGTCATCATTGTCCTGTCATTGCCTGGTAGGGACTCCTCAGGGTCATCTCTTAACTCAGAGCCGATGGAGGTGGTCCTCAAGAAGTCCAGGTTAGGAAACGGCTACTGTTGTTGATCCAGAGGCTGGGCCAGGAGGTAGCAGCGTTGTTTGCTCCTGCAGATCTCCACCTCAGCTGGGGAACCGAGCTGGTTCCCATCCAAATGAGAGGTTACTGCAGAGCGCTTCCATTCTTGGCAGAAGGCACCATCTCCAGTGGGAGCTATGGTCCATCCCACAGCTCGCCGGGGGGTCAGTTATTTACGGAAAACGGCAGATGTTAGCGTTGGCGCTGCCTTTCTCTGACGTGCCCTGAACTTGCAGGATGTGCTTCGGGTGTCATTTCGGGGCTTCTATTCCCAGCTCTGTCTTTGGTTTTCTGTCTGCTTTGAGCAGCGATTTCCTCTCTGTGGATCATCATCTCCCTCTGCAAAACCAAGCAGGGCATTTGGCCAGCAGCTGGTGGTGCCCAGCTTTTCAAGACAGGCTTTTTCTTATTCAGGCTGGCGGAGATCTAGCAGGTTCTCATTATTTAGGGGCTGAGGGAGGGGAAAATAGCCTCTGCGAGTAGTTACGGTGGGGCTTTTGCGTAGAGATGACTTCTTGTAGGTGTGTGCTACTTCGCAGCTACTTCCTACGCTTCACAGGTGCGCTATGCCCTCCCGTATCACGTTGCTTTACGCTGTAGCAAAGCCAGGGTACAACAGCTGGGGGTTTTGTGCCGTATTGTCGTCCATCCACTATATGTATTTTATGCCACAAGCCAGTTGCAGCCTGTCTGAGGCCGACATTAAGCCTGAAGCGTTGCAGCAGCGCGTTCGCAGCGCTGTGTGTGCTTTATTTCTGTCCTGGCTGGCGTCCACAGTAGTTTTCCATGCTGTGACTCAACTGCCATCCTATAGAGAACGTGCTAGCCCAGGCAGACCGCCGGCTTCTGAGGGGCCACGAGGCTCTCGCGCACGTAGCAGTAGCCTGCAAGAGTGGGTAATGAAGCATATCCTTTTAACCAGCAGTTCTTTTTTTCTCTGTGGGGTGGTGAGGAACCTCTTCAACAGCCTATTTTAATTTCCCAGGAGAAATAACTCACAATATTTCCTAGTTTTATAGTCTGATGTAGAGCAGTAATGAAGGGAGAAATGACCAAAAATTTCCTAGATTAGTTATGTCTTTAAAGACTCTTTTTTTTTTTTTGCTGTGGAATAGCACAGTAAAGCCTAACTGGTTATTTCTTCTTGCTCTCCACCTCTGGAGTCCGACGGTCTGGCTTACAGCTTCAGTGACAATACAGGAAAGCTGTCTGTGGACATACTGCCAAAAGTTTCCACGTTGGATCCTGCAGAACGGTGGTTTTGTATCAGGAGCTCAAGAGACTTGAGTCCATTAACCGCTGGTGCATGTTTTCTTGGGAGTGAGGATACGAGCACAAGGCTCCAGTAATGCTGCTGCATTAGGATGTTTCTAGAGAGCTGTGCTGATGCGTATAAAGGGATGAGTTCTGTTGTTAGTCCGTAGGCTTGTTTCCTCCGGTGCCCTAGAGGAGCCTCATCTGACTGTGCCTCGGCATCCAGCAGCTCCTCAGGTGTTTGGAGATATGTCCGGATCATGGTGCGTCGCAGGGATTTCCTGGAGCGCGGCAAGGTATTGTCCCCAACAAGGGGGGTTGTGTGCTGCACCCTCATCTCTTTCGGTGGTAAAAGAAGAAATGATATCTGCCTAAAGCTCCAGGCTCCCTCCCACACCGGTTAGCTGTACAGAGGGATCCCGGCAGCATTGCGGCAATCACCGTGGTCTCGGCGGTATTGAGGAAATCGTCCCAGCGGGAGCTCGGAATGGGATGAGGCCAGGACAACGAGGGCTTTGTCATGAGCAATATCTCATATCCCACGTGGAGACCAGCCAGAGCAGATGGCAAAACCGTGGTGTTGCTCTCCTGCCTTCTGCACCCACTTGCCCATCAGCAGAGGGTGGAGGGAACCTTGGACGTGGAGTCCCAGCTGGGGTAGCAGTAGTGCTGTGTAGAGCTTCCTAGGAGCTCTCTGACAGGGCCCTGCCCTCATCTGTGAGCTGATTCCTAAATATTTCCTGCAAAGATGAAGGCTGGCATGGTGTTGTCTCCAGGAGCTGATCTGAGATGACCTGAAGGGTGTCCTTATTGCCTGCCTTTGACGTAAAACTCGAGTATCCTGGGTTGCTGACCTGGGCTGCTCACCTTCTGCATTCCAGAGGAACGTAGGCTTTGTAGCCCCAGGCTCCCTGCAGAGGATCCAAGCTAGATATCGAAAGCTTACCAGTGTGAATACTCCCTCATTTCTCCTGAAGGCTTGGGTGTTCAGGTCTCGAAGATTCAGCCCTTATTCCTTCTGCCTGTTGGGATCTACATGGAGAAATGGGGGCTAACGGTGCTGCCCTGCCAGTGAGGAGCTCCTGGAAGGTTTTTGCTGCCCTGAGAGGAGCATTGGAAGTACCCCAGTAGCCTGGATGGACTCTGGGTGGATGAAAGCCTTGCTGTGCCTCTGCTTCTGTAATGGGGAAGTAGAATTTACAGAAATACTTTTTTATGGAGTTTTCTTTCTGTTACCTCCTCCCTGCTGTAGTCACAACGTCTCCCTGTATGCATCCACCGCTGCCGTGCAAGTCACGCTGGGGGCCCAGGCACGCAGAGTCTCAGTCTATCTGGCTGCCAGAGCTTGGTGGGGGACCGGTAAGCTTGCCATCCTAGTCCCATTCGCCCAAAACTCGAGCCTGTTGGC